GGAGACAACAGAGGTGAACTGTCAACACTGCATTGCTGTCCTTGGGGTTTCTTGTAGGACAGTCCTTCTTCTCCTAGTGTGTGTTTGGTAGGCTTCTTCTGAGAAAGCAGTAGATGTTTAGTGGGAGGTGGAGTGGTGGAGTTGTTCCAAGGACCTCAGGAAACCAGTTCTCAGACTAACTGAACCTTGGAACCCCTGCCCCAGTCCTCCTGTCGTGTGTGTGTGTTTTCACACTTTGGAAACAGACTAGACCCTGGCATTGTGCTTTTGACCTTCCTTCTGGCTATAGTTAAAAAAACCAAAAGGACATTTTTCTTCACAAAAGGGTTCTTTTAGAAATAAGTGTGTTGGCCCTTCAGCAGAATGGCAAGACTGCCGTCATAGGCCCCTTCGGACAGTTAGGCCTGTAGAACTGGTCCAGCTTCCTTGGTTTGGAGGTGGGCCAGCACATTCCTGCGACTCAAACCATTTGGTTTCAGGACCCTGTGAGAACCCAGTGAATTTCAGCCACCCAGAATTTTGCAGGGGTCATACTTCAAAGGACATCTATCCAAACTTAAAATAAGTGAAAACACAGAAGGGTACTAACAAGAGAGAACTGAGTAATCTGTAACCTGAATTTGTCAGGACCTGCTCCAGAAACACCCAAGAGCAGGTTTATCTTGCACTTGACTATTGTAACAATTTGAACTTCCTTGGGGAGCCCCTCACACCCAAGCCCAGCATTCTAGTTTTAGGGGGAAAGTGCTCTTTTGTTAACTTGAGCATAATTTCTTATTCAATTTAGGCATGTATTTTTTTTTTTTTTTATCCTTACCGAGGACACTTTTGCATGTATCTTCAGATAGAGCGGGAGGGAGAGAGGGAGGGAGAGAGAGAGAGAGAAACATCAATGTGAGAGAGACACATCTAGTGGCTGCCACCCACGCAACTCTAACCAGGGCGGGGGACAATCCACAATCGAGGTACGTGCCCTTAGCAGGAACCAAACCCGCAACTTTCTGGTCCGTGGTCCGATGCTCTAACCGCTGAGCCAGACTGGCCAGGGCTAGGCGTGTATTTTTGCTCAGAAGACAAGTTTGGGTTGAATTGAAGCCTCTGGCCTAAGTTTCTAATTTAATTGTGTTAATTAGCAGGGTCAGGGTTTCACTTGAATTTTAAGCGATAGATGTGTGTGAGCAATGGAGTGTGGACGGTTTCATTGTTATCTTTATTTGTGGGCATAGTATGTTATGGTTTGAAGGAACAGGGCCTTTCCCCTCCCTTATAAAGCAGGAATTGGCATGGTGGGTACTTTGGAAGTACTGGTAAAGTAGACCTTGCAGGTTTACCGGAGAGCTGTGGAGAGAGGATAAAACGAGGAAGACTTTTCATGGCATATAGGCATCTTTCGGAATTTGGGATTGTTACAGAGCCGGGTCATTTTAGTCTAGGACAGTGGTTCTCAACCTTCCTAATGCCGCATCCCTTTAATACAGTTCCTCATGTTGTATGTGGGCGGATCTGCACGTGGGCGGACCCGCCTGGAGTCGGATAGAGGAGCGGTGTCTCGGTTCCTAAGACCATCGGAAATATGTGATTTCTGATGATCTTAGGTGACCCCTGTGAAAGGGTCATTCAACCCCCAAAGGGGTCGTGACTCACAGTTTGAGAACTACTGGTTTAGGAGGTTCTGCAGCACAGACAGGAGCTTTACTGTGGCAGTTTAAAATTTTTCCCTATTTGGGGGCCTTATTCAGTGAGCTGATTGCATATGGTTTTCAGTATCACAGTTCAGTTTTAGTGTAGGTGTTTTGAGGACCAGCATTTCACATAACCCCTCATTAGTGACAAACACTCTTCTGTCTTCTAAGAATGTTGTAGAATTGTTTGTCATGGGAAGTTGTGATAGAGTGAATTAAGAGTTGAAGAGTAAGAGCAGCCATGCACCAGCACTCTTAAAACTGGGTAAGGATGCTCTTTTCATTAACAGTTGGACATACCAGTGATGTGGAGGGCCGTAGGGAATATGCACATATTCCTAGCACCAAGCATGCTTGCTCAAGGCACCCAGAAACACCGAGTTGATTCCTTCTGTGTCATCCTGACACACAGACCAAGAATTCTTGTGTACTGAGGTAAAGAATTCAGCAATGTTAGCCAGCCTCTTTCATCCTCAGGAATGTTCCTTATGTCCTATAACTTAGGACTCAAAGATGCCATGGGGTACTGGAGTTCGGGGAACCTCAGAGGTGAGAGCAGCATGTTGTATGGAGGTCCAACATGTATGCAAACATTGGTTCCAGTGAGTTTGAAGCCTAGATATGATTAACTGGAATTACAGCTTTCGTTTTCCAAGTTCCTTTAATTTGTAATTTAGTTAGAGGTGGAAGGCATAGCATAGCATTTAATGTGAGATGCCAGTTTTATAGCTACATTAGTCTTCTGTTCACAGGGGTTTGTTTGGTAAGGAAAAAAAAAGATACCATTTTTGTGGAGTCTACAAACTGGGGTAGTATGAATGAATGTAAGCAAGAGGGAACAAAAAGACCTGCTTTTTCTTATCCCGTGTTTCCAATTCTAGACACTCTTCATTCCTGCCCAGTAGAATGACAGAAAAGGCAGTTTTTCAGACTGAAATGAAGCTGATGTCGAGCTGTGTGGTCAGTGGGAAATGTATCTGGAGTTCATAACTTGCATGTCACTGATGACCATCAGCATAGTGGAGATTGGAGCACTCATTCATCCCAAGGCCCCTTGTGAAAAAGCATATAGAAATGACTTGTTCAGGCAGTGACTAGGATGGTGGCTCAAGGTAGACAGGAGAGGCAGTAAATCCCCTTCAGGGGGTGATGCCCTCAATTCCTAGGCTGTCAGGCCAATGTTGGATGCTTCTGAGTAGGAATGTCACATATAGGCTGAAGGCAAAGCAACACGATCAAGCCTGTCCTGAAGCCATACTGGGTGTGGCCTTCAAAACCTGGGCAGGACTGAGGAGAGCTGAGTTGGTTTTCTGTTGTTATACGTGGGCTTCAGGGTATTGGAAGGCTGTGATGGGCACCTGCTGCTGTTGGTGGTCATCTCCTCTGCAAAAGGGATGTGAGATCCAAACCATCAAACCAATAATGTCAGTGCCCAACAAGACTAATAGTTACTAGTGGTTGTTGCCATTACTTGGAATTGAGCACTGAGGTTTCTCCCTTTCCTCTCTTTTGGGGGAAGAGGGGTTGGTGAAAGTGTATATAAAAAATGCTTTTATTATCTTGGCTATCAGTGCTTGGTTATCACTTATTTATATTTTTTTAAGTTAGCAGGAAACCATAAATAACTATAGATTTCAGATAATCTGGAGCTAAGTTTTGTAGGCTGAGGTGGATGAGGAGTCTGCTGGGTCTAGTTAAAGGCATCAATAAAGAGGTGTGTGAATCTGCCATGAGCTTCTTCTGCAGGTGAAGAAGGCTCCAGCAAGGGCTGCAGCCTAAGGCATCAGTGTTGCTCACCAAGTGCCCACAGTAAAGCATCTGTGGAGGCTAGTCTTTGACTCTCCCAGTGTGTTTCCTTCTTTAGCCTCTCTGCCCTTAGCTCTGTCAATGCCTGAAAGAAGTCTGCTGGTCCCTGGGCTGCAGTGTGGTTTGCTTTTGATTGATCTTGAAAAAGAAATTTGCCAAGCAGTGGTGTGAGAGCTGGGATAAGCACTTTATTTTTAAAAATGACAGTAGAAAAGTACCTTTAAACATTTATAAAAGCATAATAGACTGTGTGGAAGTTGCTGTTTCCCTTAGAAACAAGATATAGACGTCTCACTGAGAGCCAGGAAGCGCTGAAGGCATAGGCAGGGCTTGAACAAAGCCGCCCCCACACCTCTGTAAGTGCCCTTTGCCTCATTCATATGAGGAGAAGAGTCCCTCTTCCCTGGCCCTTGTTGTTTTTTTGTGATGATCTTTAAAAGCTTCTTGACATCTTTATTTCTAATGGAAAATAAAGAAACAAACCCAAAACCAAGTCTTTAGCACAACATGAGCAGATCAGTTAAGAAAGATTGTGATCATGTTTAGCTGTATCAGCAGTTGAAATTCGTAGGTCAGTATATATTTTTACACATGGCTCTTCTATAAAAAGAGGGGACACTGAGCTGTCAAGACTGGACATGTGTCAGTCAGACTGACTTTTTTGGTTTTGAAGAAGTCTTGAAGCAGGCTGAACAGGATTCATTCTGAATGCCCACTAGCTGCACCATCTCTCCATGGGCCGCTGTGGTAGAAGTGTCCCAGTGAGCACACCAGATTCAAGACCATGTTTTAAATGGCTCATTTGGCATGGTGCTGCCAACACTCAGGAACACCAGTTTAGCCAATGTTTTGCTAACTCACTTGGGAGACATGAGCTTCCCACTACAGCTATGCAGGATGGGCAAAGCCAGCTTCCTCTTCTCAGTGAGACATACTCTGCACTTTTACTGGGGGTTATGCACTGTGGCTCACCGAGTTTGTACATCACCTCTGGCGCTGCCAGGGTTCTCTAAGGGCACACTCTGGTCAGGAATTGGTACCAAGGAAAGGCTTCTTTGCCCAGTTGTGAGCATGTCACCATGGCAGAAACTCCTGGAGGCTTTTGATGGTCTTGCAGGGTGTCCTGGACCTGCGAGCGTACACACAGTACTGCAGACAGCACAGTTCTGTTTCTAATATCTAACACCATGATTCTCATTTACTCTGGATTCAAGCCAGGCACAGATTTCTATACATTCACAATACGACTCTGGAAATTTTCATATTTGAAAACATGCCTCAAACATGCAACTTATTTTAGAGGAAAAAAATAGATATTTTTAATTACAGGCATTCAAAAGTCAAGCACAAAAATTGTGATCCAACCCAGTGTAAGATCATCCATCTTATCATACTGAAATGGTTGGTATAAAAATACTCACTCTCTTGGTTTTATTGTTGACATCTTTTATGTTTTGTTTGAAAATATCTCCAAACTGTACAGAAATGTATGTCAGACCATGCGTTCACAAATAACACACTATTTCTTACAATTACACAGTGTAAAAGAGTAAAACATTTTTATTATATTTTTTTCTCCGAGAAAAATAGATGTGTGATAGAGGCTGTGGCAAAGTCTTGAAGGGATCAAAACTGGGCACGGTTGTTTTCAAGCCTGAAAGAGAGAGAAATGTGTGAGGAAAGCAGATTTCACAAGTGTGTATGCAGTAATTCCTCCTAGCTGTGGAGTTGTGTTTGGAGTCACCTGTGGATAGAATTCATGCTCTAGAAACTTTCACCTGGGAAAATTCTTGGTGATCTCTATGCAAGCACGTGTGTGTATGTCAACATGGAATATATTTACTAATTCGCCAAATAAAGACCACACAAGAGTATCGATGGTCTAACTCCAAACTCAGATGCACAGGGAGCATCTGTAATTCCCATATTATCTCTTACTAGAGACTTTCCAACACCTTCTCGTGCAGTCGCAAGGAAATGCTCCTGTTTCTCCTGCTTTGTGGTAGATAAAAGGGCCTTGGAACAGTCATTGAGACTATCTGACTGCCACTGGCAGAGTCCTCCCCTGGTCCCAGGATTTTCTGAAATACCTCAGCTCCTTTTGTACCTGGATTTACTTAATAATGTTAAAGGCTACATTGTGAAAACTGTTATTATTCTGTCATCATTTTACTTCTCTCACCAGGTCCTTTGTTTTCTTGCCATCATCTTACAAGCATGTCATACTCATAAATTTGTGGTTGTACAAAAGGTATATGCAGGAGTAAATCAACATATACTAGAATTTTGTATACAGAAATGCTTATTTGTGAGTGGGAGGAGGCTATTTTTTTAATAGCATCATGATTGAAAACCCATATAATTGTCCTAAGTTAGACTTATTTGGGAAAATGTGTATTTAGCAGTAAGTCCTGAAATTAAAAACATATTTTAATGATTACTCAAATCAAACTTAGCTAATTGCATGATTTTGGTCAATACTCCTACCCAAACCAGGTCTGCCCAGTGCCAGCTGAACCTGAGCTGTGATCCAGTCAGTCCTGTTACAGCCTGGTTTGGAGACAACGGCACAAATAGGTAGAAGTAACAGTGGGCCATGAGTCAGAAAACCTGGGTGCATCTTTACATGGGGTAGGGCTGCAGCTGTGCTAGCTGACTTTCCTGATGAACTCACCACCTTCTGCTCATCTGCATTCCCACAAATGCCTCAACTGCTGCCTTTTAATTGCCCAACGAGCCTCCCCTCAAGTGGGAAGAAGAGACAAGGCCCCAAACACCACATGTCAACAGAGGAGGGAAGCCAGTTTCCTTCCCCTCTTTTGTGGCTTGTCAGGCCTGGAGTGATACCTTCCATGTCATCCCAAATTGACCATGTGCCAGGAGCCCAAGCTGTGTGTTGATTCCAGGAAACCATTTCTGAGGAACAACAGTCACTCTACTACGGCTGTTGATGCTTTGGAACAATTCACAGGGGACGGCACTTGGCTGCCCTTATATTCTGGGAACCGAAGGGGCCTGTGTGCTGCCAGTGGCTTCTCACAGAGGACAGGCTTGGGGTGGGCCAGCTTGGGAAAACAGCTGAAACTGGATGTGGTGACAGGGCACTGAGACCAAGGGTCTGAAACCAAAAGCTGCCACACTGCTTTCAGGGACTGAATGAACAGGCAAAGGAACGTCGGCCATGTGACTGCTCCTTTCCAGGGGCTAGGTGAAGTCCCTGGCGTCCTCTAGCCCTTGGCTGTGTATGGTAAGGGCCTGGCTGCTTGTGCTCTCTTCTCTGGAGAGCTCACAACCATTTTTGGACAACTGTATGCTGCCAGTCCTGGACAATTCTCCCCACTCTTATCAGCTTTGCCCTGGACATTCCTGCCATGACCCCAAAGGCAACATGTCTAAACTCAGACTTCCCACAGCTCCTGATTCCTCTCCCTGTGTGTGTCCTTGCACCCAGCCCCTCATGCCCTGTCCCCGACATGGCCCTGCTCCCTTGCTGCCCACAGCAAAATGGATGAAGAATCATGTTAGAAACACACTAGGAAAGGTGAACCCAGGATGGTGATGTCAGAAGTGACAGAATGATCTGAGGTTTTCCTCCCTAAAACTACTTCCTCTTTCCTCTACCACAGACATAGTCCTGGCATACAGCAATAATCCAGACACTTGGACTACGTGACAAATGAACCAGGAGCAATGGGTTGTGGCCTGAAACGTGGCCTTAGTCTTGAGAATGCCCTGGCTGAGAGCAGGAGAAGTGCCGAGGGACCCGTGTTGGTCCCTGAGCACCTCTGGTCCTGAGGGGTCTTCTATAGGAAGCTGATACAGGGAGCATGGGACGGTACCTTCCCCTTTCCTGGTTAATTCTGGCTGATCTTAGAAGTGAAAAATCTGGAAGAGAGGGGGATGGGAGTCTATAATTTCCTGAGCTTTTCTTTCCATAACTTTGTTGTGTAAATGAAATTCTCACATGGGAAAAGAATGTGTCCCTGTGGCCATAGATGTTCCCAGACTGAACCGAAGGTCAGAATGTGGCTATTTCAGTCCCTGTAAACAAGGAAGGGGTTTCGCTAGGAATGGAGTTCAAACCTTGGAATGTATTAACAAGGACATTTTAAACAGAATGCAAAGACATCCGAGAACACAGAGCACCGTGGGTGGGAGGATCAGGCTCTGTTTAGAGAGCAGATTCTCCTCACAGAACCTTTCTTGAACACGTGTGTGAGGGGTAAACAAGGGAAGAAAGTACAGACTGAGGTAAATCACAACTGTCCTAATTTGAAGACAATGGAGAATGTCTCCTGATATCTTAAGAATATTACAATTCTGAAACATTTCATTTCAGTTGCCCTTGATCAAAAGATCAGTATGTGGGCCCCTCAGTACTTGGAGGCAGCGAGGTGTGGCGTCAAGGTGCTTGCTGACCGACGTGGGGGCGGGGCAGTGCCAAGAGCTAGAAGGGGCCGATTTCCCCTGACTCAACTTTCCTGTTGGTAAATTAGTCTTTTTGTACAAGTGCCTGGACTTATGCTGGGGTCCATGCTGATAAACCCATTTAAAATATCATTAAGTCTAAAATGCATTTAAAACCGAACATCATAGCTTAGCCTAGCCTACCTTAAACGTGCTCAAAACATTTACATTAGACTACAATTGGGCAGAATTATCTAACACAAAAGCTATTTTATAATAAAGTAGATTAAAGACTGAAATGTAAGACCTGAAACCATAAAACTCCTAGAAGAAAACAGGCAGTAAACTGTGACATCTCCTCAGTAATATATATTTTTTTGACATATCTTGGGCAAGGGGAAAACAAAAAATAAATAGATGGGACTACATCAAATTTCTGCACAGCACAGGTAACCATCAATGAAACGAAAACATGAACCTACTGAATGGGAGAAGACATTCACCAATGAGACATCTGATAAGGGTTTAATATCCAAACTATAAGGAACTTGTACAATTTAGTAATATTAAAAAATGGGCAGAGGTCCTGAATATCCATTTTTCCAAAGAGGAGACACAGATGGCTAATAGACATATGAAGAGATGCTAATATCACTAATCATCATAGACATGCAAATTAAACTCACGATGAGATAGCACCTAACACCTGTCAGAATGGCTGTCATCAATAAATCGGCAAACAAGTGCTGGTGAGGGTGTGGAGGGAGGGAACCCTCGTACACTGCTGGTGGGCATGCAGATTGGTGCAGCCACTATGGAAAGCAGTATGGAGGTTCCACGAAAAATTAAAAATAGAACTACCTGCTCTGGTCAGTTAGAGTGTTGGCCCAGGGATCAAAGGGTCTTGGGTTCGATTCCCAGTCAAGAGCATGTACCTGGGTTGTAGGTTCAATCCCCGGTCCTGCTTGTACAGGAGGCAACCAATCTATGTCTCTCTCTCTCCCTACACTCCACTCTAAAAGTCAATGGAAAAATATCCTCAGGTGAGGATTAACCAAATAAAACTACCCATATGGCCCAGCAGATTGCACTTCTGGGTATTTATCTGAAGAAATCCAAAACAAAGCACTAATTTGAATATACCTGCACCCCTATGTTCATTACAGTATTATTTACAGTAATAGCCAGGATAGGAGAGCAACTTATGTGTCTGTCAATTGATAAATGGGTAAAAGATGCATATATACAATGAAATATTACTCAGCCTCAAAAAAGAATGAAATTTTGCCGTTTGTGGTATTACATTAAGTGAAATAAAGTCCGAGAAAGTCAAATGCCATATGATTTCAGTTACATGTGGAATCTAAAGAACAGAATAAATGAAATAAACATTCTCACAGCTAACAGAACAAATTGATCATTGCCAGTTGGTTGGGAGAAGGGATTAAGTACAAACTGGTAGTTATAAAATAGTCACGGGGATGTGATGTACAGCATAGGGAATATAGTCAAATTGTAATGACTGGTGTCAAATGGGTACTAGACTTATTGGGGTGATTGCTTCGTAATGTTCAGGGTGGGCAAAAGTAGGCTTACAGTTTGTATGGAAAATAATACAAATAAACTTGCATGTACTTAAAATTGTAAACCTACTTTTGCCCACCCCTGTATATGAATCTTAATTACTATATTGCACACCTGAACCTAATATAATATTGTATGTTAACTGTAATTGAAAAAAATCATGAAGTGTTCAATACCTCATGTAATATACAAAAAATACAGTATACAAAGAATACTGGCAACACAGGATACTCTAGAATATTGGTTGTGTACCCTCAAGATCGTGTGGATCACTGGCCAGCATCATGAGAGAGTATCGTGGCACCATATATTGCTAGCACAGAAGATCAACATTCAAAATCTGAAGTAAGGGATCTACTTAATGAATATCACTTTTATACCACCATAAAGTCAAACCCTGACCATCTGGACTTGACTTATTTACTAATGACTCTTCCCTTCCCCAAGAGTTTCTCTGATATTTTTTCATTTGTACAAAAAGCCACATAAGGAATATTCCCTTCCACCCACCTCCCAATAAACATGGGACATTATGTGACAAAGATTTCACATAAGAGTGGTTTAGTTTTTATTTTATACCTGTCAGCTTGATTCTTAAAAAAATCAAATGCTGATATTAATTTGTAATAAAAAGACTAGTTAACATTTCAAAAGGCTCACACTCTACAGTGTCCAGTGGAACAGTCCCTGTAGTTAGAAACTCCTCCCTATCCTAAAGATATTCCCCCATCACAGTAACTAGTAAGCTGCTCAGGCCTGAGGCCAGAAGCCTACCCCCCCACAGTCCCGGCCTATCTCTGTTCTCCAAGGGCAGGCCTTTAATGTCCTCTGACTTCAGATTTGGGAAGAAGAAAGTCTCCGCCAAACTCCTTCTTGTAACCCCTGCCTGGCCCATGGAACCGGTGAGCCCACTCTGAACATGGCTAGTCCCAAAAATACCCCCCTACCACCTGGTGCCTGCTGGCCGCCTGCCCCACTATTTCCGGCTTATCTGCATCTTGACTCTTAGCTGCCCACCCAGGCCTGAGCCACAGTTCTCCCCCACATCTTTTCTTCTGTAGTCACCAGGCCCTCCTGTTGTCTGCATGAAGTCACCACATACTCTAGCTGCTGCTGCTTTCTCCTTGGCCTTATCTGCATTGTGCCCCGAGTTATTGATGTTTAGGTCCATTAAAAAACAAAAACAAAACAAAAGCATTATTCTAACCTGCTTCCAAAAAATTGTATAGGTGGCTTTTAATTGGTCTTTAAGCTTCTCCAGAGGAGGGGTAAAAAAAAAAAAATCTTTCCCTGGCTGGGTTTTCTCAGTGGTTAGAGCGTCGGCCTGCGGTCCAGAGAGACCCGGGTTCGGTTCCCGCTAAGGGCACGTACCTCGGTTGCAATTTGTCCCCGGCCCTGGTTGGTCGTGTGGGCGGCAGCCACTCGATGTGTCCCTTCACATCGATGTTTCTCTCTTTCTCTCTCTCCCTCCCACTCTATCTGAACGAAAAATGTCCTCGGGTGAGGATAAAAAAACAAAAACAAAAAACAAAAAAAATCTTGTCTTTAAGAAAAGCTTTGCTAAATGATAATATCAGTAAGAATATCGTGGGCAGCCTGGCTGGTGTGGCTCAGTGGGTGAGTGTCGACCCATGCACCAAGAGGTCGCCGGTTCGATTGCTAGTCAGGGCACATGCCCAGGTTGTGGGCCTGATCCCCCGGGGGGGGGGGGGGCGGGGGGGCATGCAGGTGGCGGCCAATCGATGTTCTCATTGATGTTTCTATCTCTCTCGCTCTCCCTTTCTCTCTCTAAAATTAATAAAGAAAAAAAAGAATATTGTGGACATTGTTATTCTGACAAAATTAGCTGTAGAATTAGTGGGATAAATAACACTACTGTCCTATGTGATGTGGAAAAACATTCGCCTGTTGATAAATTTGGTTAGTGTGAGAAACATGTCAGTGGGAAAAAGACCCACAAGTGCAGGCTGCTGGCTTCCTGTTCAGGCAGGGGTGTCATGCTGCAGAACCCAGCACAAACCGAGTGCATGTGCTCCTGGACAAAGCACTGAAGAGTACCATCCACGAAATTACTTAAGCAACAAAAATGTGTTCATAATCTCCTTGGCCAGAACTGCCTGGTTCTCTGTCCTTAGCAGGAATCTTACCCTTTTTTCTGACTCATCTTTTCTTTGGAGGCCCATTAGAGGGATGAAATTTGCCACCTTATTTGGGCTGAGATAGAACTGCTGTCAGCCAGTCACTGGCATTCCTGCTGTTCTAGGCCAAGCTTTCCAAAGAGACGAAACCTCTAAGCATGGTGCCTGGCAGGCAGGTCACCTCCTGGGAATGCGATGTTACTGTTTTAAGATTACACTTACTGCTAGAAATAGATGAACTGAAAAGTGACAACTGGTGTTGAGTAAAAACACCGACAAATCACCAAAATGATCACCCACTAGAAAAGTCTTGCAAGTCTGAGGAATTCAGTGAGGATCCTGTCATTCAGCTATGCCCAAGGGCAATCACCCTATTTCTGAAGAGGCTTATAAAAACATCCCTAAGTTACCAGGAATGCGCTGCACTCTACCCAGTATAATCGGATTAATAAACCAGGAGGAATATACATACTACATCTGAAAAAGATTTCCACCAAAGTGGTTCATTTCCCAAAAAGGCTTAAGGGCTTTAAGGAAAGCTTCATTTATATGTAATTTCCCTAGGTGGAATATCTCATTTGATCCTGCTGGATGTACAGGTGCTGACGGCCCTACCTACATGTCAGCCTGACCTAGGATGGCTGTGGTGAGAACCAAGTACTGGGTGACACACTCTGAGAGTTTGCAAAGCCCTCAGTTGCTATCCTGAGACAGCCTTCCCTAAGCAGGCTATAGTTGGAGGAGATAATGAAGAACCCATCCTGACCCTGAGCACTCCACATATCATGTCCCAACTTAGAGCTCCCACTGGGAGAGGTGTGATACCCGGACTGCTGAGCCCCACCCCGTGGGACCTGGGCTTCCCAGGTGATGCTGGGTGATGATCCGGGCCACACTGGCCTACACCATCATGTCCCGCTCCCACCCCAGGACACGCTGCTTCTCTAGAGGGCCTGTCAGTCTCTGACTGGGGAACTCACCAGCATGCTCCAGTTTTGTAGAACAGCTCGAGAACAGTAGCCACCATTGAAGATTGCATTAATACCCACAAGACAGATTGCAGCCACCATCACACACCTGGAACCTGGGATGGAGAAAAAGGTCACACATTAATTAAACCCATTAATGGTGTGCAGCTAGGGTTCCCTGTGCCTTTAAGACCAGCCTTTTCTGAGGGCAGAGAGCTGAGAGTCAAAGGCAAAGGGACCAAAGGCCTCTGCTGTTGAGCTGAGGGCAAGCACCACTTGAAAATGAACTTGCATCCGTGGCGTGAAAAGCTCACAGCCAGGACAACTAGCTTAGGCTGTGGTGGAACAAGTGAGGGAAGGCACTCAGGCCTGGGAGGAAAGGAGCCAGTGGAGGGGCTGGTTCCCAGGGACACCCTGGTATGGAGGCCTGAGAGAAGGGCATCTGGCAAAAAGTGTGCTTCGGGGGACATAGTCACATGTTCACTCGAGTATGAAGGTGTAAAGCACCTGGGGCTGAGGAAAAGCACCAGGAGGCTGCCTTTCCTGTGGGCTAGACACCCCCCCCCCCCCGGACTGTCCCAAGCCCTGCTGAGGAAAGGCACAGGACCTGAGGTCCCCCAAAGAGAATAAATGCCCGAAACCTACCCAGGTCCAAGGCCTACTCAGACCACAGTAACAACTTTGGTCAGCCCAAGACCACAAAAGCAGTTCCCTAGGAGAACCCTGTGGTGTCATGGGCACCACTGAGCTAAACTGGACTCCGAGCACCTATTGGAAAGCAACCCGAGAGGAAACATTTGTGAACATATGCTATTCCCTAGGGTCTGAGAATTTTGAAGTAAGAAGGTATGGAAACCCAGCAAATAAAATTTTAATACAATTCGTGTAGGCATGGCTATCTGTGAGCTATCTGGTTTTCATAAACCCTGCATTGAGGAAGGGAGCCCAGTGGCCCCATTCCCCACTAACAGTCCTTATGTTTTCAGCCCTGGTCAGCACTACCACTCACAGACAGAGGCTGTTCCTGGCACGGGGCTTCATGAACAGGCGTGCACAGTGTACTGCCGTGAACCCTCGGAGTTCCCCAGAAAGGTCTCGCCAATCTCGGGTCCAGGAAGTGAGCCCTCCAGGAGGAGGCCCCATGGTACTCGGGGTTCACCTGAAACTCAACTTGGGGATTGGGTAAGGTGAAGGAAAGATCACCTTCCTAGGGTAGCTCAGAATTAAGGGAAAAAAATGTTTCCCCCAGAATTTCACTGTAAAAGTATTAAAAGATGAGTCGAAATGATTCTAGTTTCCTAGTAAGAGGGTTATTTCAGGACAGGAAAAATACTCATCTTTGCAAACAAAACTTATCAGCTTACCCAGCTTCTGTCACCCTTTCCAAATTCGCCGAGAGCACTAGAGGGAGGGAGGGAGAGAGGGAGCACCCGGAGCAGCAGCGCAACCTGGGGGCCTCTGGGGACTGCAGACCCAGCCTGCATTTGTAGGATGCCTGCCCCTTTTTTTAAAAAATTCACCCGATGATACTTTTCCACTCAGAGAGAGAGAGAGAGAAACATCGATGTGAGAGAGACATCAACTGGCTGCCTCCCGCGCGACCCCAACCAGGGCTGGGGATGAACCGCAACTGAGGTACGTGCCCTTGGCTGGAATCGAACCCGCAACTTTTGGTCTGTGGGCCGACGCTTTGACCAGTGAGCCAGACCAGCCAGGATGCCTGCTTTTAAGAGAAGCTGAAGATTCCTCTCAGTATGACTTAGAACTGATGGATGAAGAGTCCAGGAACCCTAGCTGTCACCCAGCTGCTCTCTGCCCAGTTATTATGTCAATGAATGTGTCCACACGTGTACCTGTGGTCAGAGAGAATGCACAGGCCAGTCTACAGATACCTTGGGAGATGACTCCCCAAAGAACATAAAACACAGGAGAAAGTCTAAATGTGTTCACGTGTAACTTCATGGTGAGCTCATAGACCTGAAGTGGGACAGATGATGGGAGTGAGGGTCAGGGCAGAGGTTCCTGTAGGTGGCCCTAACCCGTGATTGTTCAGCAGCTGCTCTGGGACTCAGTGCCTGGACTTAGCACATGGCTGCCCTACTTGAACTTGTTCCAGGGACCAGTCAGGCAACTCTCCTGGTGCATATCATGTATGTGGTCAGGGGTCTCCCAGATCTCCCAGCCAGACTCTCAGAAAATAGGTAACGGGCAAATGTGACAGAGTCACAGCTTTGACTCATTAGGCTGTCATAACAGCCTGGTTTGAGATGAGCTCAGTAAGTGCTTGTGTGGTTAGTAGACGTCACTGTGTTTTATTTTACAAAGCCTGGAGGACTTGGCAGTGGCGGGGAGGGGCACCCACCACAGTTACTAGCAAGCGGCAGGTTCTCAGCCTGTCCCTGTGTTGTAATTCACAAGGGAACCTGAACAGACCTCCAGACTGCGAAGGAATCCGAGCCGGGGCTCCTCACCAGGACAGTGGGGAAACCTGTCGGGGAGGGGCTGGTCAGCACGGGGGGGGGGGGGGGGAGCTGCACCGGCTGCTTGGGCTCGGTTCCTGCCCACGCTCCACAGGGCCTCACCTCACCTAAGCCGGCTGTATTTCAAGCCTGCTTACTTTGATTTAGCTAAGAGGAGGACTGGTGAAGTAAAATGATTCTTTAAACCTAAATAAGAGGTCTGTTCTGAACAAGGAGCCCCACATAAATCTGGGAAAGCTTGGGGTCTCGGTTCGAAGGGTGTCAGGCTGACCCCGACCCCTTGGCTCCCGTGTGAAGTGAAATGCCTGCCCGCCCATACCATCTCCCCTCTCCCCTCACGTTGCTTTCCCCTCAGCACTGCTCGCCGCCGGCCTGTTTCAGTGCGTTGCTGCCCGTCCGTGTCCTCCCTGTGACAGTGGCAGCTGCGAGAGCAGGGATCTTGTCTGCTCCGTTCACTGCTGCGTCCTGGGCACCCAGAGCAGTATCGTGCACACTGTGGGTGCTCACTGAACATTCACTGTGGTGATGAACGCTAGTGTGCTCTGGAGACCTTGTCTAATAATAGGGGGGATGGCAGAGCAATGATGAAGTGCCACCTTGTTTCTGGGCATGCGGCATGGTGAGAGCATGGTGTCTCAGCGAAGACCGGGCACCTTTTCTGCTCAGCTCCCAGCTGTGCCTTGACACCAGCACCTGGGACTCCCCTTGTTGGCTCCATCCCCGAGGCCCACCTGCTCAGCCACAGAGGAGGCCATTCTGCCCCTGACTAAACATCAGGGATAAAGAGCTTCAGACTCGGGCCTCATCTTGCCGTGTCCCTCTCTAATGTGGTGAGGCTGTAACTACATGTGCTTATAATTTCTATGCTGTGGTCTCCGTCCATGACCAGGGAATTTCCATGAGTCCTTAACCCCTCCCACAGCCATCCCAACCGACCAGGGAACTTTCAAACCCCCCATCCCAACTCCTAACTGCCCCCCCCCCTACATTTGGATAACCAACAAGAAAAGCTGTGTAACTCTCATTCCTTGTAAGAACTGACTAAAAACTTGCTCATGCTTTGCTGTTCTCAGCATACCTGGGAAATGGATAATTTTCAAGTATTACGTATTCTGGGGTTCTCTGCCACAAGGCTGGATCATTAGCAAAGCTCTGTCTGCTGGGTAGACATACCCTGTAGCCTGACTAAACACCACCCATCAAGGAAGACACTGAACGATGAAAACCCCAGTAACACCCACCTTCTGACAGTCTGAGTTGTGCCACTTGCACACCCACACCAGACTTTGGTGCTTTCCTCAGCAGGCTCATCCTGGAGCACCCCTCTCCTTTCTCTTTAAAATGTGTGTCCAGCCCTGGCTGGTTTTCCTCAGTGGTTAGAGCATTGGCCCGTGGACCGAACGTCAAGGGTTTGATTCCCCATCAAGGGCATGTACCTGGGTTGCAGGTGTGATCCCTGGCCCTGGTCGGGGTCATGCAGGAGGCAGCCAGTCGATGTGTCTCTCTCTCTCCTTCTCTCCTTCCACTCTAAAAATCAATGGAAAAATATCCTTGGGTGAGGAGTAACAAAAAGTAAATAAAGTAAAATAAATTGTATGTCCATGACTCTTGCCTATTAGAATTTAAACTCCTTAGGGGCAAAGGACACGTTTTGCACATCTTTATATCTAGCACACAGCAGACACATAATACATGTTTATTTAAGGAATAAAGAGCTTATTTACTTTCATAGTCACTGATTTCCCATTAGAAGTAGGAAGTCAAACGGTAAATCAGAAATCCTTGCAGGACCTCTGGGAAGAGCAGGCCCAGGGCTCCTGAGTCTGGAAGGGCAGCATCCTGACACTCCACACACCAGAAGCTACTCCTGCTCTGGTCTTCTGTTCTGGCGCCACCATCCAAGGGGGAGGACAGCCCCCTGGTGAATGGAAGGCCATGTGGGCCGGCGGTGCCATTGGTTGGCCCGTACCCTGTATTTGGCCTTTCTGAGGCACTTGTTTGGCGCTGAAATGTTTCTATGATTTCATCAGCACCACTGTTTCAGCTCTAGTTTACATTCCCTAAGATTATGTAGCATAATTAGCTCTCGTGGGAGGAACCTGAGCCAGGAGTTAGAAGGAGCCTGAGCATAGGATCCACACTGAACAGTCCAACTTCAGGTGGGGTGAGACTCAGTCCCAACCCCAGCTGCCGCCGGATGAGTACAGTGATCCACCCTCCTTCCCGGCCAGCTTCCCTCCTCCACTGGGGCCCAGAACAAACAGCGCCTCCCCAGACTGGCCCCAGTGCAGACCCTGCAGTGTTCCATCCGCTCTGCTGCGCTGCTACAGGGGCATGCCCTCTGACCTCTGATGGTTTCTGGTAGATGGGTCGGCGGGAAGGATGGTTTGGGAAAACTCAGGTGAGCCTGGTACACACAAAGGGTGGGGTCTTTGTGGGACCCACGCAGCTGCTGGACAATGGTGCCTTCCCTTTGGCCTGTGTCCACGCTTCCAACACCCTTCCTCAGCCCAATGCCACCACCATTCTTTGCCAAGCGAAATCACCCAGTTCGAAGGTACTCTCTCCCTTTGGCTCAACTGCCCTGCAGTGGTTGCCCCTGCTGACCAGGCGGCTCGACACTGCCCTCGGCGGCTCCATGTCCCGCTGCCCCTCCGGTCCCTCTGCCCTCCACAGGGTCCACAGGCTGCTCGTCAGCTCCTGACCCACATCTGAGTCTCAGGTTTGTCCCACGGACCTCTCTCCTAATGATGTCCTTCCCCAGCCGCCAGCTGGTCCTGACTGCCAGACCTGCGTCCCAGGGGCACGTGGGAACTGCCCTGGGCTGCAGAACTCCAGCTCCCTCACCTGACCGCCCCAGGCGGAGAGCAGCCTGTGCACGCGGATGAGCGCACTGTCAGGGCAGAGGCGCCGGGACAGTCCCTCCGCCGCGCCGCACCTGGGCCCACGGCGCCCTGGTAATGGGGGTCCCACAGGGCAAAACGGCTAAGGCTTTTCTGAATGAAGAAACAAGGGCTAAGGATACATAACTTACGTTTAAAATTATGGATATATAGATATGGAGCACGGACTTAGAAAATCCTGGACCTAACGGACCATCAAATGTACCTCAAAACATAAAAGAGATGCTTTCAGGGGGGAAACGTTTCCCCTAAACTGCGAACTTTTAGATTCCACAAAATAGTAAAATATTTTGAAGAATACTTTGGGTATCTGCAATGGGCTGCTGACTTTATTTTTATAAGAAAGGACATTTAAAAGGGTACTTGAGCCCAGGCCAGTCTGGCTCAGCAGTAGCGTGTTGGCTCTCGGACCGGAGGGTCATGGGTTTGATTCCCTGTCAAGGGCAGTACCTGGGTTGCAGGTCTGCTCTCTGGCCCTGATCAGGGTGCCTGTGGGAGGCAGCGAGTCAATGAGACACGTGTGTGTGTGTGTCTCTATCTGAAAGTCAATGGAAAAATATCCTTAGATGAGGATTAACCAAAAAAAAAGGGGGGAGGCACTTGAACACACAAACACACTGAGGAACTGAATTTCAGAATAAAGGACAAATGCCATCAGCTTTTAAAAAAATTTTCCTTTTGTTACAGATGTTTCTCCTTTTTTACCCCATTGACCACCCCACCCCCCCCGGCTTTGTTGTCCATGTCCATTGGTTATGCATACATGCATATAAGTTCTGTGGTTTATCTCTTCCCTCCCCCTTTCACCCTCTCTTCTGAGGGTTGTCAGTCTGTACCCTACTTCCACGTCTCTGGGTCTACCCTATTCCTCAGACTATTATGTTCATTATATTCCACAAATATGTGAGATCATGTGGTATTTGTCTTTTTCTGCTTGGCTTGTTTCACTTAGGATAATAATACTTTCCAGGTCCCTCCATGTCGCCTCAAAGGATAAGAGATCTTTCTTTCTTACAGCTGCATAGTGTTCCATTGTGTATATGTATCACAGCTTTTTTATCCATTCATCTACTGATGGACACTTGGGCTGTTTCCAGATCTTCGCTATTCCAAATAGTGCTGCTATGAACATGGGGGTACATGTATGCTTTCTGATTGGTGTTTCAGGCTTCTTGGGGCAAATACCATCAGATTTAAGGAAAGAATCTACTGTATGTCTTGATTTCCCCCATCATCATAGATAAGCAGTGAGTATAACAGATGACCACCGGTCCAAGGACATTCATACACACACACACACACACACACACACACACACACACGGGGGTGGGCAAAAGTAGGTTTATAGTTGTGAGTTTGTGAAGCAGAGTGTATTTTTGTATTATTAATTACTAGGTTATTTTCCATGCAAACTCCTGTAAACCTACTTTTGCCCACCCTGGTATATGGGTGCCATGGGTGTAGGTTTGATTAAGAGGTTAGAGCAGTTTCCCAAAGCATGCTGTATGTAAAACATCAGTTTCCTAAGATTCAGTAAAAAAAAAAAGGGGGGGGGGGCTGGTCTCAAATACATTTGAGAAAGCCTGCATCCCAGAGTTCCCTAATCTTAGATTCACAATGCACATATTTTTATAAAGGGCCTGAGAAACTTTGGTAAAGAAGTTTGTTTAACCGCTTGGCACAGGACAGACACATTTATGTCCTCCGCCGGGATGATCCTGAGGCTGGTTGTTTGGCCACATTGCAAAACACGCCAGGACAGGGCAGGCACCACGTCCAGCTGCGAAGGTGGCAAGAAGCAGCCCAAGGAGATGGAGAGGAAGACGAGGCATTTGAGCAGAAGCAGAAAGAGGAGCAGAAGAAACCCGAGGAGCTAAAAGCAAAGGCCGTGGGGAAGGGCCTCCTGGCCACAGGCGGAATTAAGAAATCTGGCGCCCTGGCCGGTTTGGCTCAGCGGTTAGAGCGTCGGCCTGCGGTCCAGAGAGACCCGGGTTCGGTTCCCGCTAAGGGCATGTACCTCGGTTGCAGTTTGTCCCGGCCCTGGTTGGTCGTGCGGGTGGCAGCCACTCGATGTGTCCCTTTCACATCGATGTTTCTCTCTCTGTCTCTCCCTCCTACTCTACCTAAAACAAAATGGAAAAATGTCCTCGGGTGAGGATAAAAAAAATAAATAAATCTGGCAAAAAACGAGCTGTCCCTGTGTCTGGGGCAGGGGTGATCCTAATTCCATTCCTGTTTTGGCATCTGGATTCCCTTGCCACATCTCTTGCCACCTATAGCTAGAATGAAGTGTTGTCCATTTAAGAATAAACTTTTGTAAAACGTTATAGTAATAATAATAACCACGCAGTAGCTCATCTCTTCAGTCCTCACTCTGCCACTTCAACCTTAGCTGTGAGGTCAGAGTAAACCCAGCCCAGAATCCTGTCCAAGTGTTCAGTCTGTGGTCTATTTGGAATTGTTCCACCTGGAATTAAACCAACTCATTTGCAAACAACAACAAAAAAATATGTTGGGACTGGGAAGTGTAGGTACAACTCTAACTTACTGAAGTTGATGTCTTAAAACAGAAACGTTACCCCTAAGTTTACTTATTTTCACCACCAGAGGAAGAATCCAGACTAGCTGGGGTATGGGTCTACTGACTGGCCACCCTGATAGATCTTTCGTGGGATTTCTGACGCTCTTAGAGCCATCACTAATCCTGTTCCTGGCTGGTGAGGCCCGTCCTTCTTTCTGACCGAGGATGGAGTCCCAGGAAGTGCCCCCAGCTTATGGCAGTGAGACCTTCAGCAGTCACCCAGGAACTTGAAGTGAAGGTGACGTGACCCACCAGGGCAACTTCTCTGTGGAAAATAAACCCCAGAACTCTTTGAAAACTATCGTGCCCCCTTCCTCCTCAGGAACAGGGCACTGACCGGAGTACGGCCAGCCCCTGCATCTACAGCTTCTCCAACATTTCCCAGTGGCCTCAAGTGATCTCACAAAGACAGTATTAATGGCGGACGAAGAACATTTGTTTAATTTGAAGTATTTATACCTTAGAATAGCAGCTTTTCCCAAGGACCATGACTCCAGTGTCTGTGTTGCGTACGGGTACATAACAACTTAGCATTTCTAGGTGGAGGAAGGTCTGGTCTGGCCCTAGTCTCGTTTTTCTTCCAATTTTGTGAAGGAATGATCCAGACTAAGGGAAGGTTGATGATAGAATCCTACCATTTAAAAGACTTTAGGGCAGACTCCCCAAATCCACTCACCACACCAGAGTTCACAGTAACAGTGCTTTGTACTTAACCAACATGCAGTCGAAATACTGCATTAAAGAAGGCATTTGGGCTTTTGACAAATTCTACATCCATAGGACAATACATCTGGTAGTTTTCCGAAGCAAAGTTATAGGCCTAAGATAAAAGGGCACAAAATGCCAGTGTAGGATACTGTTTCCCTCAAGGTACGAAACTTCCGGGAAAGCCCACTGGAACCGGCCGCACCACACCGGCTGCCTTCGGTGCAAACACCAGGCGGTTCAGACGCGCCCACCTGTGGGAGGCAGGGCCCGCTCCCTGCACACCCCCTCGGAGGCAGCCTCTGGGTCCCCTATGTGGGTGGTCCCACGGGTCCCCCACCGGCCCTGCGCTGTTCTCTGCGCTCCTTCGCGCCCACCGGGCGGCGCACGGGACATCGGCCGGACATCCGCCTCTCCGCCACCCAGGACGCTCGCCCCACTCAGCTCGGTACTGCTGCGGCTCAGCCGGCCCCGCCTCGCAGCCGGGCGCGCATGCGCGTGCGGGCCCTGGGCTCCGACAAGCTGAGGCCCATCACAAGCCACTGTCCACCGGAGACGGCCTGGCCTGGAACTGAAGGGAGGTTTGCTCGGTGTGGCAGGTGGACTGCAAAGACACGGCCACGTCCCTGGCACCTGGCACTACTGCGGACTGACGCAGGGGGAAGGCAGGACCCAGGTATTTGAGGGGACTCGGGAGCACCCTCACTTCTCAGTCCCTGGTGGGAGAAGCGCCGCCACGGAGCTCTGCGGCAGGCGGAGGGTGACAGGGCGCGGCCGCTGCTGCAAGCAGGTACTTACGTAGTATTCAGCAGAACTGACGGGACTTCCAGCCCTGAGACGTGGCCTCGGAGGGAGGGAGCCAGCGCATCTGGAAAGAGAGGTGGGAGAAGGCCGTGACCCAGGGCTCCAGCCCCTTCCCTGCTCCCGGGTGCCGCGCACACCTGCATGGGGCGCACACCTGCCCGGGCGCACACCTGCCCGGGCCACTTGTGCCGGGCTGAGAGGCGGCAGAGCTGCGCTGCCTTCCACACTGCTTCGGTGCGGAGGCCGCGCCCGGGGAGACTCCGTCTCACCCACTCAGCTGCGCCCGGGCCGCAGGACAGGCTGCCGGAGGTTTCCCAGGCGGCACGTGCATGTGGAACCCCGGTCTGCTCTGAGGAGGGAGGGACTCTGAGAGGTGCTCTGGCCAGGACTGGAGATTCTGTCTCTATTTTAGGCAAGGGGTCTGGCTTCTTGGCACTGCGGGGTGTCTGGTACCCTGAGCCCTCTGCTCACTGCTCAGAGGGACCTGCAGCCCCTGCTCTTCCATTAGGGTTCCAAAGAGGAAGGCCGGCCCCCCCACCCCCAAAGGGTCGAGTGATGCTTTGTCCACTGGGCAGAATGTTCCTGGTCCTGTACTGAGGAAAATGTTAAAAACAAACAAAAGGGCAAGTGTACTTTGGTTTTCACCAACATCCATCTATAGCAACATCCGTTTTGTTCCTAAGCCTTTGGACAGAGGCAAGAGGTGCCCCTTTGCCACAGCTTCTCTGCCTCCCATCACCCCTTGAGCACCGGGAAGCTCGGCTGGGGGAGGGGGTCTGAGCCCATTACAACATGGGGTGGGGGTGGGGCCCAAACGGGTTCACCTGACAACCTTTGCAGAGCAAAATGGGATGCTAGGAGGAAATGAACCCTGTCAAATCTATGTGAGTGGTTTAAAAAACATTTTGCATCAGAAACCCTTCTTCACATGGCATCTTAGGTCTCCAAAGCATAGCAGATGAAGTGGAGGTGCAGGGGGCCTGAGGCTCGAGCGGCAACTCTGCTGAACCCAGGGGCTTTGGGGGACCGGTGAGACCTCCCACCTCATCATCCCTGATTTTACAGCAGGGAAATCACCGAGTCCTGGGCATTCGGAATGGTGTCCCCCACGGTCACAGGGCCAGTGGGCTCAGGCTCACTAGCTCTCCTGCTTAAGCGGTCTGGCTAAGAATGTGTCCTAGAAAGGCCCACGATGGTACCCTGGCCTTTTGCCCTGGTCCCCAAAGTCCTTGGAGTTTCCTTCTACTGCACGACCTCTCCCTCCCCCAATGGTTATTTCCTGTCCTACTGTCAGTGCAGGGGAGGAGCTGCCCCTGGGGACTCACTCTCCCAGCCTGGGCCAGAGGTGCCTGGTCTCACAAACTTGGGAAGTGGACTTAAAAGCTTAAAAGGGCTGGGGATGCATTTTGAGCTCTGCCTACACCAGGAATCCACCTTGGGGAACCCCTTGGGCCAGCTGTGCATTAGAGCCCCTCTGAGGGACCATAGCAGATTTTCTGGAAATCAGAGGACCAGCTCAGTGGGCCCTGGGAGAGGGTCCAGGAACCACCAACAGGTACTGAAGCTCGGTTCAGACAGGGCCAGAGTCGTTTTCAACACAGCGACTAAGGGGACACGGGACCAGAAACTCTGCACGAAGGTAGGCTAAAAAATGTCCTTTTGGGAACTTAGGGGTGTATGCAGGGAAGAGGAGGGAAACCAAGAGGGGCAATGTGGGAGGCTGGAGCACTAGCAGGGAGAGGGACGGTGGAGAGCAGGGGAAGCGGGAGAGGGCAGAAGGGAGGAGAGGAAGACAGAGACACAAAAACGTGTACCTACCCATGGCTTATGGCTCTGTGCATCTGAATCCACTTGCTCTAAGCAAAGGGCAGAGCTGGAGCTGCCTTCCTGAGACTGGTGGTAAAGGGTGGGACGGGGCACAGCCCTGTGGCAGGTGAAGGACTGGGAACCCGAACAGTGTGGAAGGGGGAGGGGTCTGTGTGCACCAGGGTTGGGGGAGCGCTGTGGTGGCCAGGGTGCCGCCTGGGTGTGGGGCTGGGGCGCGGAGCCCTCGAGGCCAAGGCACGAGGGCGTTTCACAGAGGAGACACAGGAGAGCTGCAGAGTGGGTGGCATGATTCTTGATTCAGTGCAGGTGACTGTGGAAAGGGGGACCTCGTCTCGCACACACCACTCCAGCCTCTCTGACCTCTCTCGCACTCGTCTCTTCCACACACACAGCCCTCGCATTCTCAGTCACACCGGCCTGCAGTTTGTGGGACCCGAGTGCTCCCGCCAGCCTGCTCTGGAAGCCCCGAGCCCTCCAGGGTGACAAGCAGGCTGATTCGCGCGTGGGGTCCAGGGAAAGCTGTGCTCAGCGGAGCTGAGGTGAAGTTGGCCCGCTGGCTGATTCTCGGGGAGGACATGGAGGTGATGGAGTAAAGACAGGCCCAGAAATTCATCACTCTTGTGCCTCAAGGCTCGAGAACCACTGCGCTTGTCAAGAGGGCAGGCAGGCTCTTCTCACCGCATCGCAGACACCCGAGGGAGGCTGCCTCCTCTTCTAGCTCCGAGGCACAGCTGCACCCACCGTCCAGCAGAGGGCAGTGTCCCCAGGGCCGAGCCAGAGCTTCTCATCAGTGTTTCTTACAGAGGCAGCAGGGCTCATGGTGAAAACAGGTCCAGGCAGCTGGCCCAGGTGAACAAGCTGTTTTGTGCTACTCACTGCTGTCCTCTGGGGAAAAAAAAAGGTTTAACCCTTACACCCACTTGGGCTGCTGGTTCTGCTGTGGTTTTGGCCCCAGGTCACTTGTGGTCAAGGGGCTGCTGTGGGTGTGCCACAAACACCAGGGAAACCCACACGTCCCTGACTCCTGCTCCATGGGCAGTTCAGCAGGGATCGAGTTAGGCAGTTGACCTTCCGTGTATGGCAACGATCCCTCTGCAGAAAAACGCATGTGTGCACACACTCGTACAAACTCCCACTCACAATCCTGCATACGACCAAGGGGCTTCTGCCGTCCCTGTCAGAACCTCTAACATAATATCTCTGGCCCAGACTAGTGCTGATTATCTCCTCTGTGACTGTTGAGCATGTCACCGGGGTTGCGACATGAGTGGAGCAGCGGCATGAAGGCCTGGGACACTGCTGTCCAGGGCACAATCCAGGGCACACTGCTTCCAAAACGCTCTTCTAGAACGGGCCCGCTGACGTCTCCACCACCTCAGCGCTGGACAGGAGCAGGAGGGCACCCAGCAAAAAAATAACTCAGCAAAAATAAAGTGGAATGCTAGAGAAAAGTAGTAAGTATCTACACAAATAATTTCCATCCTCTTCCACTTATAGATGAGGAAACTAAGGCCCAGAGGATTAAAATACATGCTGACTTCACTTTCCCAACAGTGCTGCCAAGGACAGGAAGACCCCGCCTGGTCTCCAGAGGGCAGCCCCTGCCTGACCCACAAGCCTGCAGCACCGACAGTAACTACTGGCATCAGAGTGTGTGTCCCCTTTCCAGTGACTGACTCCCATCGGCACACTGGCCTTTAGAGAGAATCACAAGAAGTGCTTACCAGGGGCCTGGCACAGTGATGGCAGCCATTATTCATAAATACCCCCGAGTTTAGCCATTGTCTTCTCTGGAATAAAGGGGTTAGTCTAAACCAGTGGTTCTCAGAGTGTGGTACCCAGACCTTCAGCGTCACCTGAGACCATGTCAGAAATGCAGAAACGGGATGGGGCCCGAGCACTTGCACTGAACGGGCCCCCGGCGATGGTGCTCGTGCCCCAGTGTGAGCGACACTGTTCCTGAACGAGGCTTCCAAACGTGTGGCCAGAAGACCAGAGAGATGCTCTGCAGTCCAGCGGGCTCGGGAGAAACGTCTCCTTCCAGCAGATCCAGACACACATCGCACGTTCAAGGCTGAGACGGTCCACAGTAAAGAGACCTGTTGGACGTGACTGAACCCTGGGTTCTCCGAGTTTACCTGACCACGGAATCTTTGTATTATGTAACAGCTAATGGTGGTGGGTGTTGAGACATGTTGGTCTGGAAGGCCCCTCTGGGTGGTGTTTGGTGGGCCCGGTACAGCATACGGCTTCGGCTCCTGAGAACGCTAATTGGAGCTGGAAGACCCCCAGGCCAGCTGGTGCTCAGAGGTCTCGGAGCAGGGCGCTGTGCTCCCCTTTCCCGGAGCAGATGCCATGCCCGCAGGCACACTTCCCGCACCACACCCAGAGCCCGCCCACCCTCCTGAGGCGCGGATGTGCTCAGGCAGGTGCTTCCACCGGCCCTCGGAGGGAGCCCTGAATTCCTGCCGGGGCTTTCCCAACATGGAGCCAGCTGCGGCAGCCACTCGCAGACTTAGTCACCTGTGGCCACTCGCTCCAGGCCTGAGGACTGTCACTCTTGAGCGTCACCGGACACAGGCCGTCAGGGCCTACAGCAAACTTGGCTGAAGGCTGGCGGGCTGAGGGGGAGGCTGCCGAGCCAGATGCCTACACTCCGATCCAAGGAACTCCACACTCACCAAATGAACAGGAGTGATGATCACAGCACAATAAAGACGAACCTCTTTATGAGACTAATTACAGGGTTCTTTTAAACAACACCCTCCCATTTCTAGTAAAGTATGCACCAGAACTGGAAGAACGCTTCTCAGGAACTTCTCTTTCAAGACATGATGCCCTCTGTGAGGAAACTCCCAGCCCAAGCCCCCCATTTCCCTCTGCCCCTTCCTAGTAGACTCAGAGGGCATGGAATGCAATCAGCATTCTTCACCACTCGTTTGGCATTTCATATTCCTGGCCTCGGACAATTAAACAAGTTGCCACTGTTGAGGCAAACTGTCAAGGCTTACGCGAGTTGGTTAAAAAACCAAGTCTGCGATCTTATCCAGCCCAACAGCAGGGAAGGGGAGGAACAGGAAAGTCCCAGCCAGAGAAGGCCATGCCGCAGCCCAGCGGTGTCCCCGCAAACCTCCCACTCTGAAAGGCGGGGCCCTGCTGAGGTCTGAGCCTGGGCAGGAGCCAGATTGGGACCCCAACTGCAAGGTGCTAGGCCTGTGACCTCCTCCTGCTACAGCC